CGTGCCCGTTCTCTGCCGGGGGGGTGGGGATGGCGATGACCCTCTGGCCGTGCCCGTTCTCTGCCGGGGGGGTCGGGGCCGGGCCGCGCTTGCTGCGTTTGCCCTGCGGCCACTCCGAGCCCGCCCGGCCCTGCCCGCGCTTCCGACGGCACCTCCCGGGTGCCCGCTGGCCCTCCTCCTCCTCTTCTTCCTCCTCCTCTTCCTCCTCGCTCGAGGGGGACCCCGGGCCCGTGGTGTTCTCCTCCTTCATCTCCTCATGGGGGGCTCATGGGAGAGGGGGAGGTGGGAAGAGGAGCTCCAGAGGTGCGGCCCCGGAGCATCCGCCCTTCCCCGGGGTGGGGGGGATGATTCCCGAGCCTCGTCGGGCTCTCCAAGGAATTCAGAGCTCTTCAAGGAATTCAGAGTTCTTCAAGGAGTTCTGAGCTCTTCAAGGAATTTGGAGCTCTCCAAGGAGTTCGGAGCTCTCTAAGGAGTTCCAAGTCCTCCAAGGAGATCAGAGCCCTCTGAGGAGTTCTGAGCTCTCCAAGGAGATCAGAGTCCTCCAAGGAGTTTGGAGCTTTCCAAGGAATTCAGAGCCCTCCAAGGAGATCAGAGCCCTCCAAGGAGTTCAGAGTTCTCCAAGGAGATCAGAGCTCTCCAAGGAGTTCAGAGCTTTCCAAAGAATTCAGAGCCCTCCGAGGAGATCCGAGCTCTCCAAGGAGTTCTGAGTCCTCCAAGGAAATCAGAGTCCTCCAAGGGATTCAGAGCTTTCCAAAGACTTCAGAGCTCTCCAAGGAATTCAGAGCCCTCTGAGGAGCTCTGAGCCCTCCGAGGAGCTCTTGGCTTTTCCTTTGGGTCCCGGAGAGGAGGTTTTTGGGATGATTTTGGGTGGGGGGGGAGGCTCCTGCTGATAGGACGGGCGGGGGGGGGGGGGGGACCAGGCGCCGGCCAATGTGCCGGGAACGGGAACGGCTCCGGAGCTTTATGGGTTCCAGATTTCCTTCTCTCCCTCCTCTCCCTCCGGAACAGATGCTCCCGCTGCCGCCTGGAGCACCAGGATGGAGAGGGGGGATGGTTTTTGGTGGGAATCACGGGATATTCCGAGCTGGGAGGGGCCCCCAAGGATCATGGAGTGGAACCCTTTGGAATGGTCCATCCGGGAATGGAACCCTCACCCCGGGGTTGGGGTTGTTGGGGTTGTTGATGTTCCCTGATCCAGGTTTTTGCCCTTTTTTTTCCCTTGATCCCGGGTTATTTTTTTTCCTGGCAGGGAAATGTCCACTGGTTGGGATCAGAGGAGGAGCTTTTGGAATCCTTGGAGGGATTCTGGGGCGGATGGGGAGCTACGGGGCTTCCCAGGGGCAGGACGGCTCCGGATCCAAGGGAAGGAGGGACAGGGAAGGGAATCTGGGATGGGAATCTGGGATGGGAATCTGGGATGGGCAGGGATGGGAATGTGGGATGGGAATCTGGGATGGGAGTCTGGGATAGACAGGGATGGGAGTCTGGAATGGGAATCTGGGATGGGAGTCTGGGATGGGAATCTGGGATGGGAATCTGGGATGGGCAGGGATGG